CCCAAGAAACCCTCCTGGGCTGTTTGGCATAGAGTAACAAACGAACGACATACAAATACTTTGTTAGCGAATTGAATTGGTTTTAGGGTTTTAACAAATGGTCGCAGCCACGCAGAGGGCGTGCGTAGCGACGCCCCAAATGCTCGGTCTCCAGTATTTCTACGTGGCGGCGCCCCCGCAGGCACGCAGAGGGCACGCGTGGCGACGGGGGCGTCGCCACGCAGAGCTTCTAAAGACCAAATGATGTGAAAGCCAATTGTTTCCACTACCAAAGTAATTAGTTGGTTGTTGTTGTAGTTGATTTTTTCCAGTCTGCCCAAGTTGTGTCGAAGCAGATGGGGTCGGTGGATCGCGCCGCATCGCTGATGCATCGGTGATTCGGCTCGATTTGGAGCCCGATGTTCTCCACCCCGACTTCGCCGATGTATCGGCGATGCGGCGCGATCTTGTGACCCCATCTACTCGGACCCCATGTGGGAGGACTCTGCCCAAGAAGAAGCCCTCGCGGGCAGCCGAAAGTGTATGTTCATGCCGTCGGTTGCTCTTCCGCCGTGGGGGTGTTCCTGGGCTTCTTGTCCTGGCATCGCTCGGACGTGTGCGTTTTTTCCTCGGCGAGGACCATCGAGGAGCATCCTTGACCATTTGGCGAAACAACCACGCACGAAACCGAAAAAAACACAAAAAATGGACGTCCGAGCGATGGCGAGTTGTGGCTGCGCGCACATGGTGGTGGCGCGAAGGGGGGGCTGTTTGACTTCCAGGCGCTTCTTTAGAAGGCCCCGTGCCTCCCTAGGATGCCGCCCTCCTCGCGCCACCCTTCTGCGCGCGCCGCCAGAGGCCCGCGAAGAAGGGTCCAGACCTCTGGGCAGCCACGCAGTGAAAAAACACACACACAAACACACGACGTCAGATGTTTAGGAAAACGAGGGGGATCGCTCTTACTCCTGCAGCCCTCGATGTCCAGGAGACTCAGCGAGATGGACATGGACCAGTCGGGCTTTCCCGAGGATGTCCTCCCCCCTGTCGCCATGGTTTTCGATGTGATTATTCGGAATCGCGCGCACTGATTCACATGTGCCCGATGGCCGCTGTCTCGATCCATGGACATTCACAGATTTGCCACACAGCATTGCAACCACTGCAGCACGCTGCCTACATCGATACAGGCGTTCGCCGGCGGACGTTTTTTGCAAACGCACGTCGGGCGTTGCGTATTGCGGGGACGATGCACTAGGAGTGAGCGAAGGTGCACCTCGCCTTCGGGCACCCCTAGGGCCCAACATGGGCACGAAAAAGGTGCACGTTTCTTCGCTCCCCCGTTTACCGCCCCCCATTAAGCAACGCCCAATCACGAGGAGGGAGAGAGGGAAGGGGAATGAAGGAGGAGCAGCGGCAGCATGAGGAAGATGAGGACTGGATGAGCAGGAGGAGTAGAGAAGGGCACGATTATAAGGAGATGGAGGGTATCTTGCAAGGAGGAGAAGGGTTAACATCTGGACTAGGACCACCCATGCTCCTTGGCGAAAGCTGCGTCCAGTGCTGAAGGACCATGCGCGGCGGTTGGGTCACACTCATATTTGTTTCGCGGGTGCAGCCGATCATGACTCCATCTCACCGTCGCGCATTGCATTTGCATCCGACGCTTGCCAACTTTTTGGCGTGCCCGCTTACCAAACTATCACCATGCGTCCCGCTCCGCGTTCTGGGCGAGAGAGCCGCTTCTCTTATCAATGGGAGCGGCGTGGATGCGGGACGAGTTGGAGCCAGTTGGGGATTGTTGTTTCAAGGATCCGGCGAGAACCCCAGGTTATCTTCGGTAGCAAATCATGGGAGCTTGTCGCCTGCCCCTCCAAGCACCCCGACGATCGCTCGAATACGTGATTGGGCGATCGTGTGTATGTCTGCATTGTGTCCTTCTTTCTCGCTTTCGCCGTGCCTTCTCATGTCCGCTGACTTGGTTGTTGCGTCAATTGTTGCATATCTGTGAGTTGTCCCTTACTGTGTGAGCTCCTGTGCTCGTGATTGTACGATTTGCGAGTCCGAGATTGAAGAAGCGCGGTATCACACCATTTCTGTTCCTTCTGGGGCATCGTTGTGCGTCTCCTTCACAGATTCTTATGTGTTCGGAAGCCTTCGTTCCAGAGTCCCTATTTTTTAATGTGCTCTCCCCGCTCACTTATCCGCCAGGGCTTTTTTTGTCCTGTGACTGGTGTGGTATCTGTTTGGTTCAAATTACCTTTCTCGCTCTTTAGCACCATCGCTTTGTCATCGGAGTATCCCTCGCGCTGACGTGGCCTCAGCGGAGCGTTCGGACGACGTGCCGGGAGCAGGCACGTGAGAGGGAATGCCAGTGACGCTACATCACCAGTTGAATTGAGGTCAGAAGAGGCCCCCCATGACGCCCGAAGAGGCACCACCGAGGCCCTAAAGATGCTCCGAGCAGGCCTCAACGAGCTCCTGGGAGCCGCCCCTGAGACATTCAGCGCCGAAGAGGGCCCCGAGAGGCCCGGAAGAGCTCCCAAGAGGCCCCCCAAGCGAGCTCCAAGATGGCCCCAAAGGGCCGCTCGGAACGCATCTCGGGGGCATCTTGGAGTTTTCTTGAGTTGCATGCGCAAGCCTCAGACGCGTGTCGAAGGCGGAAATGCGACAACACAACCATTGCGATTGCCTGTAGTTTATATTGATATTTAATGTTGCTGGCCTTTCGAGAGGTTCCCCGGAGCCCTCGGGGGATTATGGAAGGCCTCTTGGGGCGATCTTGGGTGCCCTTGGGGGCCTCTAGAGGCAACTTGAGCAAACAAGGGAATTCCATCAACTCCTTGTGTTTCAAGCTCGCCCATCCTCCGTTCCCTCCCGTCCCAGGCTTTGGCGTGCCCCAGAGTGCGTTTTCGTTTCTCCTATCCCTCGTTGTCCTCGCTCTCTCTCCTGCTTCTGGTTATCCTCCGTCTCCCGTTTCGCATTTTCTCATCCTCTCTTCTTCCGTCCTCCCCGCTGCGTCATTATTGTTCCCCCCTCTTCGTCTCTCCTTCACGCCCTCCTCTCTCCGCCTCCTTCATGCGTTTCCGTCTCCCCCCACTTATATCCTCAATTCTCTTTTACTCTTTCCTCCCCCCCCCGCCCTCACCCAGCATCCTGCCCCACTGAGTGGTAGGAGGCCCACCTTGAAAAAATGAACTTCTCCAAATCCTTGTTTTCAAGGCCGAATCCCATTTGACGATTCGAGCCTAGACGCCAAGAGCCCCGGGGAGGCCCCCGAGACGCGCGCAAAAAGTTCCAGGAGACCCCCACCGAAAACAAAAGCGGCCCCAGCCCCAGAGACCCCCAAGAGCCCTCCAAGAACGTCCGCCAAAGACATCCAAAGAGACTTCCCAGCATGGTTTTCCCAGGCTGTGAGTAGCTCTCGGGCGTCCCCCCATAGGCTGCCCGAAGTCCTCCGCGTGGTTGCGGCCTTCCTTGGCGCTTCCCAGAACACAGCAGCGGGGAATCGCCCTGCACGCATACCTATGGCGCCAAGTCATGCTGGACGTCGTCTCTATCAGAAGAGTGAGCCGCGTCATCAACACTTTGACGTTTCCCAGCAACGCAGATTACGACCTAAAGGATCGCGCCTTCCGGCGGCATTCCTGGGCGCTTCCCAGATAACAGCAGGGGGGAAATCGCCCTGCACGTATACCTATTGCGCCAAGTTGTGCTCGACGTCGCCCTTGTTAGAAGAGTGAGCCGTGCCATCTCTTTGGTACCGTATGCCGTGCAGCATCATAGCATCAGAATGCCACCCAGCAAGGCACAGGCACAGGACGACCTGAGGGATCCCAAATGCCATGCGGATTCGACTGACCTTAGCAGCCCCCCTTAGTTGGTTTGAGCTGCCCCATATCATTGGCCCCCAGAGATCCCAAGGGACCTCCCAAAACACATCCGAGACAGCCTGACCTCCAGACGCACAGAAGATCTTCAAGGCCGCCCAAGTCGATCCACGGGCCACGAGCCTCCCGAAGCCTCCCACAGTTTAGGTTCGGGAAGCTGGTCGGTGTGTATCTGCTCAGCGCAGAAGGATCTCTTAGGGCCTGCCTGTTCATCGACGCCTGTGGCGCCCTTCGTAGAGCACGCTCCCAGATGGTGAGCCCTGCGGGACGGTGGCCACACTCATCCAGTCCCGCAAGTTCTGTTTTTTTGACTGCGCACCGAAGTGCGCACGAAGCGCGCGCGTGGTTCCAGTACCCATCGGTCGTTGAAAGTAGTTTTTTTTTGGATTCCCAGGTTCCAATCTACTTTCAGCGCCTTCCTACTTCAAGAGTCGAGTGGTTTTCCCTCTTCCTTCCTCTTCAGGAGGCGTGCGGAAACCCAATCTATTTCCGACGCCTTCCTACTTTATGTTTCTACCTACTTCTTGCGACCGATGGGTATCGATATATAAAGGAGCTGCCACTGCTGATTCCCGCGTATCCGGTCAGCTGTTGTAGCACCACCCCGGCCCGGCAGGCGAGGGCGCAGTTTCGACATCGGAGAGCTCTCAAGAAGGTCACCGTCTCTGCTGTGTGCTCGTCTTGGCTTGCTGACTTGTCTTGGCCCGTTGCGGCAATGTCATCTTCATCAGTGGAGTCTGCGCTGCACGTTCCCCATCAATGTTCTGCGTCTCATCTACCCCCAGTGCCGTCAGCCAAGCTCTTGTCGATATCGCCACATGGTTGCAATGCTGTGCTCGTCTTTGTCCTCCGCCTTAGTCCTTAGTATACTTCGCAGGCTCCAGCACCACCCCTGCCCCATCCTGCAGCGACGTGAGGTACCTCGCGGCAGCGGTCCAGATATATCATTCCGTCATGAGCCGTCGGCTCGTGCCTGGCAGCGGCACAAATTCAGGAGTGTGAATGTTAGAGGGTTCTTGGCATCGCTCGGACGTGTGCATTTTTCCGTCGGCGAGGACCATCGAGGAGCATCCTCGATCATGTGGCGAAAAAACACGCACCAAACCTAAAAAAACACAGGAAATGGACGTCCGAGCGATGGCCAGGGTTCGGTTGCATCGAGTGTTCGTCTGCTCTCAGACTTGGCGTCTGAGCATGCTGCCGTGCGTGGGCGCCAGTGCCGTCGGTGACCGAACAGTGTCGGAAACGTGGTCGATGTTGTCTTCTGTTCCATCGGTCGAAGGCGCCTCAGGTAAATCTCCGCGTCCCCGCTCCGTAGCCAGTTTGGCTCAAGCCTCTTTGGCTGAAGATTTTGTCCAGTCGCACCACCAGTTGTGACTGGTGCCACTGGCCGATTTTCCCATAACACTTCTTGAGCGATGCCAGAGGTCGCAAGCAACGTGACGTTTGAGAACATCGCCCGCGAGTGGCGCTTCAAGTGGTCGGAGGACGGGGAGAAGAAGTCGTTGGTCGAAGCGCAGACCTTGGTGGAGGAGTACTTGGCCGACTTGAGTTCCGTGGAGGGCGTCACCAGCGTGCAGCGCGTAGTGTGCGGCGGTTGCCACGACTACAAGGTGATCACGAAGCTCCCCGCCGACGCCTTCAACAAGTGGTCGGAGGCAGCGTTTTCGCCCGAGGCGGAGTTTCTGGAGAAGGTCAAGACGATTGCCGGTATCACCGCTGTCGAAACGCAGACGTTCACTCTGGAGGAGGTAAAGTATTCCAACAAGCAGATCAAGAGCGCGAAGGAGAAGGCGAAGAAGGCGAAGGCCGCCGAAGGCAGCACCGCGGTTGAGGAGAAGGTGAAATCGCCCGAGGAGTTGGCCGAGGACGCCAAAAAGCAGTTGAAGAAGGTGATCAAAGAGGGTGGTAAGCGTGGCGTTGAGATCGAAGGCGCGGCCGACATGGGGGGCCTCCAGTTCTTCTGCACCAGCGTGGAGGAACCGCAGGGCGACTTGGCGCTGACAATGAAGAGCGTTGCGGCCATGAACGAGAAGTGCGATCCCACCGAGGAGGAGCGCAAGGGAGGCTCTGGCCACATCGGCAAGATGGTGTTCTCTGCGGGTGTCCACCAGCTCGCCTTGGTGGCCTACGTGCCCGAGGCGAAGCAGGCAGAGTGCAGTTGCGAGGAGTGGTTGGAGAAGGTCCTGTCGCTTTACCCCACGGGGAAGATGGTGGACAAGGCCAAGGATGTGTGTACAGCCTTCATCCCCACCGACAGCGACAAGAACATCTTCCCGCTGAAGATCCGGGAAGGCCTGATCCTGGAGGCCAACAATTTCTTGCGCAAGAAGGGCCTCTTCCCGGAGGACAACGGCGACGATAGCGACGAGATGGTCTTCGGCGATGACGACTTCCCGTCCTGTGAAATGTGATTGCTAAGACATCGAGCCGGAATGGATTATAGCAGTTCTGTTTTCACCTTGCGGCCCAATTTTGAATGTAGAGTTAAGTCGGGCCTGTCCCTCTACAGGGGGAATCTTCAAAAATAGTCCAAAAATAGCATGGGGATTTGTTTCACTATTTTTGAGCAGTGTCAGAGTATGTTTTGGATATTTTCTACGGAGTATGATTTGGATATTTTCTATTTTTCGACAAAAATCCCCCTGTAGGGGGACACGCCCGACTTGAATGTAGAATTGTACGTTTCTTGGTGGGCTGAATCGGTTGCCCTTTTTGTGGTCGAGGCGCCTGGCCCGCGCGCGTTCCGCATGCGCGTTATCAGCGCCACACGCCCGCCCTGTACAGCCGCTGCAGCTCGAGGAGTGGCAACACCAACTCCCGCGGACAGTGCCTGCACTTAAGGGTTGTCTTTGCCTTCTTAAGTCGTTGGTGGGGAATGTCGGGTTGTCGCCACGCTGCAGCCCGTGCCGTCTCGTGGGTGCCTCTTGCCTCCTGGGCGCCCCGCGTTCGGGGGGGTATGCCGGCTCGGCGCCACGGTGCCGTTGGTGCCGTCTCGTGGCCTCGTCGTGGGCGCCCCGTGGTGAGTTTGCTCGACGTAGCTTCCACCGCGTAGCCTACACCGCTTATGCAATGCAACTCGCATCACATAGTTTACACTCTATCGCATGTTCCTTCAGCTCACGCCGCCTAGCTTATACAACATATGTTGCACATATCGGAGCTTACATCACATAGTTTTCACCACTTAGCTTGCACCGCACAGTTTCACCTCATCAATGCAGTAACGCACTGCTGTGGGTTCACGCTGGCTAACATGAGACAAACGAGTACAACGAAAACAACAACGCAAGCATCCCCCCCAAACCCCCTTCTCCCTCCGTATCCTCCCCCTCCCCCTCCGGAAACCATTGATCCGACGACTTCCGAATACTTTCGACAGCCTCCGACAACCTTCGAAGATCACTGAAATCCTAGAGCCCTCTCTCCTCTCTCCTTACCCCTTTCTCCCTTCTTGCTTTTCTCATCCTTCTCCGATCCCCTCCTCGCTCGCCGCCCTTCGAAGGAGCTCGCCGTCAGGCTCAGACTTGCAGGGCGCTCAGCTTTGCCAGATCTACCGATCTGGTCTGCCCACCACCTGCTGCGTTCCTTTCCAGGAGGAGTAGGATCGGATATGGCCAGGACCCCTGGAAAAGGAAGCCGTTGTGTGAGGGGGCCCCGGGGCCCATGAGAGAAAGTCAAGGCGCTGAAGTAAGGAACACTTTGGGCAGGAAAGGGGCTCGATGTTCCTTGGGTGATTATTCTGTGGTTATTCCTCTAGCCCTCCTCGCGCACGCTGGCGCCTTTGGGGCCAACAACGCATTTCGTTCCTTACTTACCGTCCCTCATTTCAGCGGCCCGACTGTCATTAGGTGCACCGCGTTGTGCTTGTGTGTGTGTGCGCCGTGCCGCCCGCCTTGGACCAGGGTCGCTAGACCAGCTTTGCCGTTGCCGGTGCCGCGCCGATTGACAGCAGTTCCGGACAGAGGGGGCGGCGGTTGGTGATTTGCGGCATTGCGCCATGGTGTTGCTCAGCGCCTTTGGCACACATCCCTAAAGTTAGGAATTGGAGCGTAGTCTTGGCACTGCCCGGCAGGGTCAGCGAGAGGCAGTCGTTTTCCGAAATGTTGGTTTTCGGCGGAGGTTTGCCTTGTGTTCCAGGGCCATGAAACCCATCACCGGGGAGAAGAGTCGGTCTGTGGGACAGGGCCGAGGGATCGGGGCCTTCCTTAGGGGAACAACAAGTGACATAAACATAAAAACTCGGAGGTCCGCGCGGATTTCTCGGATCGGCGCTGGACTGCCCTGGCGGCGCCTCCGGCGCCGCCCCTGGCGCGCTCCGCGCGCCAGGGAGGGGGTCCGGCGCCGATCCGAGAAATCCGCGCGGACATCCGAGTTTTTATGTTTATGCCACTTTTTGTTCCCCTGCGCCTGCCACGAAAGTGCACGGCGTCGGATGTCGGGTGATGGCTCGTGTCGTGTCGGAGCCCGTAGGGCGTGAGCACGGCGGGCGCCCCAGAGAGGAGAGCCCGCGCGCCAGTGAATCCTGCCGTGGCGGCGCCGGGGCCAGCGAGGGGCCCTCTAGGGGACATGTTGGGTGCCTCTGTCAGGAGGGAACAAAAACACACAGACACAATTCATCCTCGATTCCCTAGAAAATATGGGAAACTATGGGAAGTGGGGGGGAAGACAAACACCCAGAAAATATGGAAACATATAGGGGATTTGGTTTACTTGTGTGAATTCATTTGTGTGTCCTGGCGCCTCTTCACAAGGGACATGTTGGGGGCCTCTGGGGCCCTCTTGAATTCGTGCGGCTCTCTTCGGATTCTCTTTGGGCTCCGATGAGGCCCTCTGGGAGACCTTGGGGGCCTCCGGGAGGCCTCTCGGGGGCCTCTCGGGGCCTCGAGGAAGCTTCTCGGGACGATGATCTGGAAATGTCGTTTCGGGCTCCTGCTCTGAGACCCCCCTTGGGGGCCCCGAGGCCGTTGGGGTGGCCTCTTTGGCTGGCTTGGGGCTTCCTTCGGGGCCTCTTGGGCCATTTTGGGTTGATCTTTGGGGCCTCGTGGGCCGTCTTGGAGGGTCGGAAGCTGAACAGAAAGGCGAGAACGCTAACATTTAGCAGCCTCGAACGTATCCCTATCCCTAAGATTGACGCCAAAGGCGATGACAATCTTAGGGATTCGCCCTCAAAAACTAAGGGAATCCCTCAGATTGGCATCGTGATGAGGAGGTGCCCAGCATAGGGATAGGGATATGTTCCACGCTGGTAAAACATCCCCCAACGACCCACGGACAGTCCATCGTTGTGGCCTCTGGGGGCCCTCGTGGGGGCCCTCTGGGAGCCCTCCTGGGGCGCCTCGTCTCGGGCCCGTCTTGTGGAGAGCGGAGCGCGTCTGGGGGCGCCTTGGAGCCAGCTTGAGCCATTTTTGGGGTCGCGAATGAGCCGCCAAGGGATCTTGGGGTGCCGCAGTGCTTCGCACTGTACGCCCCACCTGGGAGCGTCTGGGGGCGTCTTTGAGCCAGCCATTTTGGGGGTCGCGAATGAGCCTCCAAGGGAACTTTGGGTGCCGCAGTGCTTCGCTTGGCATCGCTCGGACGTGTGCATGTTTCTTTCGGCGAGGACCATCGAGGAGCATCCTTGATCATTTGGCGAAAAAAACACGCACAAAACCGAAACAAACACACGGAATGGACGTCCGAGCGATGGCCAGTTCGCGCTGTACGCCCCACCTGGTCACTGTTTCGGAGCCTACACGTTGGTCGACTTGGGCTGTATGGCAAGCCTTGAGTTCTGCCTAGCCTGCCTCAGGCCGTCCAATGTCACGTTGCATCTTCGGGGGACGGGGACCTCGTTTGTCCCAAACATTGTATATTTTCTTGTTCCCGACGCGGGGTCAATGCGGATTCGACGCGGATTTGGCGTGTATTCGAAGCGGATTCGACACGGATTCGACACGGATCCGACGAGTCCGACGTGGACTCGACACGGATCCGACGCGGATAGGGCCTCGACGGCGGGACAGACGAGGCCCTTTGAGGCTGCAGCGTGGCCAGCGTGCGGTTTGGCGTTGCCGCGCTCCTGGGCGTCCGGCGCGGCCAGGGTCCGCAGGGGAGGGCCCACCGCATCGAGGCCGCGGAGGGCGGGAGAGCCACGGCGTGCCCCCCTTCCAGAACAAAAAAATAAATAAAAAAAACAGGTGGCCCGCAGGTGTGGCAGTTTGGCACGTCGTGGGGCCGTCGGAGAGGAAGAGCGAGAAGAGGGGCCGGGGGCTCAGGAGACGGGGGCCGATGCAACAAACGGGGGTCCGCCAGGGCACCGGAGCTTCCAGGATTCTGCAGGGCCTGTGGCGCATGGACCCTGTTTTTGGTGCAGAGTCCTGCAGGGTCTTGCAGGATGTTGCAGGACCCTACAACGCCTGACTGACCAGGGTCTGGGTTGACCCGGGTCATAAGGTCCCCGCAGGAGGAGGGCTTTGTTCTCCAAAAAACCCTCCTGTCTTGGGCGTTCGTTTTGAATAGAGCGCTGTGGTATCAACTCCTTCCTCCTCACTCCTGCTTCCTCCTGCCTCCTCCTGCCTCCTTGCTCCCCTAGCTCCCCTTGCTCGTGGCTCCCAGGGTGGCCGCGAACTTGCGCAACAGTCGAAGGGCTTCGGGGTTGTTCTCAGGGAGGCGGAGGATGAGGGCAAGGAGGAGGAGGGGGAGGAGGAAGAGGAGGAGGAGGACGCGGATGACCAGGAGGAGAAGTAGGCCTCTCGGTTGCCTCTTGGTGCCCTCCTAGCGCCCGTTCGAGCCTCTTGGGGGCCTCCTGGAGGCCTTTGGAGGGTTCTTGGGGATCTCTGCGGGCCTCTTAAGGCCCTCTGACGCTGTCTTCGGGCGCTTTTGGCCCGTCTGACGCCTTCGCAGACCTTTTGGGGGATGCCATTATGGGAGCCTTTTGAGCCCTCCTGGGGACCCTGGGGTCGCCTGGGGACGTTTGTGGAGGTTCTGCATGCCGACAAGACGAACATGGGACAATTCTGGAATCACATAACTGTAATAGAATGGGTGTGACCGAGCGGTCAGACCCCGGAGGCCTCCATTATTTACGGCCGAAGAGGCCCTCCAGAGGGCTCCAGGACAGGCCCTGACACCTCTCAGGCCATGTTTGTTGACAGTACTGGTTACAAACCACGCCCGCGAGGCCTTTGGGAAGGTCACGCGGGTGGGGAGGGGGGGGATGAGCGCACGTGAGCGTCCGCCACGCGGTGCTTCCTCGGGGAGCACGTGCGATCGTCAATATGCTGAACTCGAAGGGACCTGAGGACATTCCATTCAATGGTTTTATCACAGAGGTGGGTAGAAATTGAAGGCATGCCCCGAGAACATGTAATGTCTCGTTCTGCCGCCGCCGCCGCCTTGGCTCAAGGCTGCACACCCCGATTTTCCAGCGCCGCCAGTGGCGTTTGATGTGCGGCGTTCGATGGGAGGAAAGGCATTTCTTCCATTCTAGTTCAATTACCAGCGCTACCCTGACTTAGACGTTCCCTTCTGCAGTGCGATGGCAGCCACGTGTTCGATTTGGTGGCGGAGCTGTCGCAGCCGTGGCAGTTTTGCTCTTCTCCACCTTCGGCGTGGCGAAGAACAACAGAAATTACGCCACCATTGCGCCATCTCCGATCCAGGCTATACGCTTGCGGGGAGACTCGACCGCGTTGCGGAAGGCGTCCCCCTCTCCAACATCTAGTTGGACGAGTTTATCTTCGCGCGCGCGAGGAATTCCGACTACTACTTGGACGACCTCGTCTACCTTTTCATCGTCAAACGCGCGAAGAAATTCGACCGCGCATTACCGCGGCGACTACAACCTCCAGCACGACTTCTGCAACCAGCGTCCGCGGAACCGCGAACGACCCCACACCTCCGAGATTGAGGAGCGCCGTTTCACGAGCCTCTCAATCTCCTGTCGCTCATGGAAAGGTGACTGGCGCCATCAGTACATCACGGCGAATCGATATTTCTTCCGTCTTGCCCAGCCGCTTCCACTGCCCTGAGTTTCGTCATCTACGGGCTTGTGGCCATCGCGATGGGCATGATCATCGGCCGCGTGATGCGGGAGCGGAAGGTCGACGAGACCAGAGGTCCGATTTGGGACACTGCTGGGCATATGCCATATCGCGTTTGAACTCGCGAGGTACACGCTTGGCTCGATCTCCACTCTGGACGGACGACGCCATCTCAGCAAACAGCCGCCTTGCAAAGACGTGTTCGATGTTTTGCTCGCGCCATTGCACTGCGGATTCAGTCCGCAGTTGCCAAC